TGTGTGTATGTGTCCTTCATGCATTACCACACTGTTTATCCGATTGCCGTGAAACTTTGGGAAGTTGTTTAATATACTCCAGCGAAGGTTTGTGGCATAGTACGATTGCCATGAAACTTTGGAAAGTTTTTTAATACCCTCCTGCGAAGTACATTTATCCTACGATAGATGGCGTGCGTTTACACGAGCATTCAAGCACAGTGTGTTCGATCTATTTCAAATTGTGAAGACCATTTCCCCCTTCAAAAAATATTTCTATATATGCATTTGTTATTTACGATATTTGTAATAATGTTTGTTTAATCACTTTATTTCAACTTTTTTTTGCTAATTACGTATTCGCTCGAACTTTGTTAAAACTTTAACTGTATACCGAACAACAACTGAAGTTGTAGAAGGAAATTTGCCTATTTTACCGATCTAGGGATCCCCTTTTCCAAATTTTAATATCAACTCAAAACAATTTAAAAAGACAAATTACAATAAAACGGTTTATTATCCAACTATCAGAAATTTTACAACATGCCAAGGAAGAGAGGAAGGAGCAATTAAATAATTAAAATTATAAAGGATTTAAAAATATATATAAAAATGGGGAATATCGCACTTCTGACAATCGCAGTGAGTGTGTGGGCTAAATTTGGAGAATCCGTGCTTCTCGCATGGACAACTGTATGTGGCTGGCTCATGTGTCGAAAAACCTTCTGATTTATTCGTGTACGCACCAGACGGAAAAACAAAAAATATTGTGTATCCACAAACACTCCAATAAATAAATAGAATTGAAACGACACTTTGAAATGTTTTCCCGATGAAAATTAATAATAATAATAAGTTTCAATAAAAATAATAAAATGTAAATTGAATTTTATCATAACGAGTTTGCTTGAATTTCGTTTCTTCTGAGATCGCAGCAATGCGCGATGGGTAAGCTAGTTTATTATAAAAATACTGTGTTTTTTCTCACGGAAAAAAAAACGAACTTACTTTCTGAACAACCCAATAGATAGATAGATTAGTATTTAATGAACTATTTCAGAATGAGATAGTATATTTTTTTACTTAGTTTAATAAAACTCTATTTAATATAATTCAATGCCAAGTAACAATAAAGACTTTTTAAAACAACACTTTTATCTAAAATAATAAAGTATTAATATTCATAGTTTTAATTGAACTAATTAATGCACTTTTAATATTATATGAAATTACCTAATGTTTTTGATCTGTTTAATGGATCATCCTCAGGCTTGGACAGACAAAAATGGAATGAGGATACAAGCCTGCCCACAGTTAAAGATAACCTGTTAACCAAGTTAAAATATTAGTGTTCTTTTAACTTCATTCACTGTTAAAGGTGCATTAATTAATTCAGTTGAGTTAACACAATGGCTAGTTCATTATAACTGCATAGTATGCTTAGTTTTTGAGAATTGTTTGGTGAACTTAAGGATCTTTAATAAAATTCATTTCAATGTTTAACTTTCTTTTATCTTTGAAAAGGAAGCATTTTTTCCTTTTATTTAAAATTAATTTAACTTTTTGAAAATAATTCTGTAGTCATCTTGCTTTTGAATTTTAGAAACTATATCTGTGTATCTGAAAATATAACAAAACTATATAAAAACTCTACAATATATTAAACTAATCCAAAAACCATTATATATATATACACACACACAATGGTGCCTCATATTTCAGATTTCATTCATGTTATCAATACTGTATCAGTTGATTTGAGATTTTAATATATTTTCAATTTTTCAGATAATTGACAAGTTATTTATAAATAGTAATCTGAACTTAAAGCACACTGTATATAAATTAATATAAAATGAAATTTAATGTAATAAATTTATTGAATTTTGATCATTAATATTTACTATGTAAGTTTAACTTAACCAAAAAACAGTGTATGATTTGGTTTTGGCAAAAACTGACTTTAAAACCTAAATTCTGTTTTTAAATTGATTATAATCTAAATTGATTGGATCTTACCTATTTGTGAAAAATGTAACGATACCAAATTGATACCCAAGGAAAAGTATTGACATTGGTATCAGTATCAGAACAAAAGTATTGAATATAAAAAGTAATTGGTATCAAAGGAAAGTATAAATATGGTATTAGTATTGTCAGTATTGGGATGTCCTTGTGGCCACCAGTTACATCACATGGGTACTGCTTTTCATCTCAATCATCAATACTAAAATCTTTTTAGGTTTCATTGCTTGTACGCTCTTCTTGGGTGCTGTGGTTAATTAATATGTAGGGGTTATATATATAACTAAACATACCAAAAATAAAGTGGAAAAAAACCATTGAAAACGTGTGTGTAACACAAGAGATGCTTTCACATTAAGAATGAGATGATGACTTGGGGCAGAACAGATATTTAAATAGTGAGTACATTTTTTTCAGTGTGTTTGCAGTTCAAAGTTAGAATCATTGTTCAAACTCTGGATTGAATTTTTTTTAATTTATTGTTTTAACTTTGGAACATTTCAAGTATGAGGTATTACTGTATTTAACACAAAACCTAACTTAAGCCACTTTCAGCATTGAATGCATAAATGGAATAGAATACTTTTTTACGATTTTGATCTAGATTATGAAAACTTTACAAATCATAATATTCAAATAAATTCAAAATTTATTTTAATGTAACCATCATAAATTATATCAAAAATAAATATATTTATTACATTAAGATATCAAAACAACTTTAATATTTAAAACTCTATGGAATTATATATCAATAGTTAACATTTTAAATTAATAAATATAATAAATATTCCAAAGCTTGATGCATTGATACTAAACCAAATGATAGTTCAATTAATTATGGCAACCATTTGGTTTAGTATTTTAAATTTATCATGTAATTTATATACTCTAAATGTAGTATTTTGTGTGTGTAATATATCTGCCTATCTACTATTTAATATTCAGGAATCATGGGCATATAAATTATATGTTGGAGATTGACAAGATTAGCCTTAAGAGATCAAGTCTGCACTTCTGAGCATCTGCACTTCTGAGGATAAATTTAAGGTGAAAATTAAGATGATGAGATAGGTTTTTATTGGGATTAGGGAAGTTAGTAACAATGTGATAGAAGTGCTTATATGACATTGTGAGATATTATATAACCACCATTTCTCAAATCAGTTTGTGAGATGTCATTGGTCTGAGAATTGCGAGCTTTACTGTGATATGAAATAATTAAAAAATTTATTGAAATAATGTGAAGGTTAGCTGATCTTTTAATTTTTGAATGTTTTTGTGGTTGGTTGGAGAGTTTTAATTTTGTGTTACTAGGAAAAATAGAAGTATTTTGAAGGTATAAAAGCATTTGAAAGAATAGAAGTTTGTGGATCCAGCTGTTGCTATTAGTTGTGAAGTGTTCGAATGAACTGAAATTTTGAAAATTTGTATTTGTGCCATTGCTTTGTAGTTTGTTGTGTGATTCTGCTGAAGATGGGAGGAATGCCTCCCAAAAATATTTTGGAAGTAAGATTTTTGTGGATTTCTTGAATAAGGTTTTGTGTGTGTGTGTGTTTTCTAATGTAGACATGGAATTATTGTTTACAAGTCATCCTATTATATTCACTAATGAAATCTTGTTTAAAAGATGTTAACTTAAATTATACTTAAGTGTGTTAAATATAAATTTTTAATATTATTGATATATAATAGCTAAACATATTTCTAACTAATTTACTGTATTTTACCAATATAATTAATTTTCAGTGCTTATCAATGCAAATATGATATAATATGTCATTTTTTAAAGATGAACCATTGTGCCTGACATCTAGTTATTCTCATTTTATTGGTGGCACAAGACAGATATATTCTATCTGCTAAATATTCCAGTATTCTGTTGCATTTCTCCAAGTTCATCACTGTTTTACTTCATGATATACCAGTATACTAAAACCAAAACTACTTTTACAGAGTGGATACATTAACATTTATGCTATAGTATTTGCTGAACATTTAACACCTAGTACACTGTGAATTTGTGTGATATAATATATTAATCTATTGTGTTGAATAATAATGTATTTTCATTCTGTTTGATAATTATTGTTATTTTTAATTTTTATTTTGTTCCCAATATATCGTTTTTGTTTTATATTCCATTTCACATTCAAACATTTAAATGTGTTGTTTGAAACTTCCAAAAATTCAAAGGCTTTTTTATATACTTCTGTCTGAAGTATATAAAAAAAGTTCATTCATATTATTTTAAGTATAATTATTTAAAATAATAATATACATTATTTTGTTAATTTATATAATAATAAAGTGCCTGAAAATTTAACCAACAGGTTTAGGATGAATCAACCATCTTATTTCTTAAGTTTTAAATGAAATGTATTGAAACTTTACTGTAATCTTGTATATTTCATATTTCATGCAGTTTTTTATGGAATTAAGCAAAAATTAATTAATAATAGAAAAACAAAAAAAATATTTTTGGCATTTTGTAGAAGTTAATGAAGATTTCTCTATAATATAAGTAAAATTAATGATGATGGATTTCAGATATTTTATAACTATATTAGATTTATAATTAATTAATAAAAAGCATACAACTGGTTGATTGTAATTTAAAGACAGTCTTTTATATCATTAATGTTAATATAATTAAAACCATTAATAACCTTTTCTTTCATTGCATTATGAATTATGTTTANGGTGAAAAAGAGAATTTCTGATGGGATGGAGCAATCAGTTAACGATATAAGTAGTTGATAATTATGTACTAAGATAAATATTTATTTCAAAGTTTTTATTTATAGTTATAAAAAATAGACAAATTTTCATTATATTTAATTAATTATTTATATTTTTGATGGCTTCTCAGTAAGTTAGTTAATGCTGTTTTGACTATACCAATTTTTATATTATGAACTGAATAATTTATAACAAAATAGTTACTTAAATATATTAAATAATACAACACCACCATATTTTTTTGTGTGGGATAGCCCCATCTTCACCAGTTTTTGGCCATCACTTGCCTGTTCCTGCCAATGCACCTCTTTTTCACCTAGCCCATTCCCCAAGTGCATTTTCAGTGCTAAGTCAAACAACTTCTCTTTCTTCTCATTCTCCAACAACACTCTCTATTAATAACAAAATCTGTTCTCAAATAGGAACTGATGCTCATAATTCTTTTTCTTCATCTCTACCAGGTATGCAACTTGGATGTTTTCTTGTCTTATTGTGAATTTTTTTGTAAATGTATTTATTATGATGACAGTTATAATAGTACTTTGATTAGATGTAAAAAATTTTATTCAAAAGTTTTCAATAAATAATTAATCGGTTGATTGTTATTTATTCTTAGAATATTGTCTATGTTTTAAGCAGTTATTGTTTTGAATAAATAACATTCAAATTATAATTTAGTTTTGTATCTCTCTCCACATTTGTGTTGTAGTTTATAATAATTATTTATATAAGCAATATTAGTTTGATATATTTAATTTAATATCTGAAAATAATGTTTAAAAATTGATTAAAGAGTAATCAATAGTGAGGTAAAAGAAAAGGCTATTAATTGAAAATTATGAAGAGCAAAATTAAATTAATTAGTTTTAAAAAATACAAGTTTTTTTTTGGTGTTAGTAACATAAATTTTACAACACAATTTCTATAACATGTTTTTACTGCTCAAATGTTCTTGATATGTTAAAACTGTATTATCTTTAGGAAAAAAATTTGAATTAGAATATGAAAAAACAAGAATGATACACAACAAAATTTATGATAGATAAAACAGGAGACAACTGTCTTTAGGTGTTATTTTAATGAATAAAACCAGAAAATTAAACAAAAAGCAATCACTCAATAAATTCATAATCAGTCTTTATAATCAAAAATGGAAAACACTGTTGCACAGGGGCAGTTACATAATTTAAATAACGTTTAATATACTTACATTAAATCCACTGATTCTGTGTATTAGATTTTGTTTTGTTTGCTATGCCTTGATACTGGTCCAGAATATTATACAGCAACCAGTGTCAACTGAATATAATTCACTAAACTCAATATTATAATAATAACAATAATGTTAAATATTGAACATGTCACATTGTTAGGAAGTTTCTAGATGTTGACACATGCCAATAACATAGCTAATGTTATACTTGTTTGGGTAACTATGCTTTGACTTTAGTCCAGCATAGTACTTGGCACCAGTATCAACTGAGTATGACATTTGCAACATAATAATAATATAGAACACAAAATTAAACATTAAAATAGTGCCAAAAAGGTTTTTTAATGTTTAATTTGTGCACTTTATTTTATTTTCATTTTTTTTGTTAAATTGAAAATTATATATTTTATTTACATTCCTAAACAATTCATTAAATAATTTTAAATTTTAACTTTGTTATCAATAAAAAATCAATAGAATATATTTGTTTGTACTCAATTTAAATTATAACTTTTGTCTGATGACTGAAACATTAATTGCCAAAAATGCCTGCTTTTTGTTTTCAATTTTAGTTTTTATTTATTAAAGTAACACTGAAAGACAGTTATCTCTTGGTTATTTTTTTTATTGAATTAGAATAGATTTTTTTTTTAAATTGTGTGAAGAAAAGGAAAGAAATTATTAGCAATTATTATTTAATAAATAATAATTTATACCTTTATATGATTAAAAATAAAAAAGTTTTATAATAGCATTATCTAGAGATGATGATCTTGTTTAATGTTCCAATAAATTGTGGCCCGTAGATTCTAGGATGTGCAATCATGTTACTAGCAGTCTAGAAGTCTTCAGAAGAAAAGAGAGGAATATTATATTACAGAATAAAAAAATGTTTTTTTTTGGTGACATTTTAACATTATTAAAAATACGTTTAAAAGTTGTCTGTGATTAGCAGTAAAAAAATTGATATATAAGATTTGAGAGTTTGGGAAATGGTAGAGAAAGAAGTTAAATGTAAAGTTTTAAGCAACATATAAAATTACAAACTTTTAGGTATTAAAATTAAGGAATATAAAGTAGACAATTTTAATATAAATGGTTATAAATGATGATGCAATTTTATTACATTATACTACTAATCTGATTTTAAAAATTTTAAGTAAATAAACTAATCTAGTCAAACATTTTTCATGGAATCATGATCAAATATCACTGAATTCTTTTTGGATCTGTTAAAATTATTTAAAAAGAAATCGTACTCCCAGAACCTATTTCCAGCATGATGAAAAAAACAAAAAAAAATTTCTTCACAAACATTTTCAAACTGCTGCAAGTTCTTCCTCATTTGAAAAGGGAGTTTCTGATGGGACGGAGCAATCAGTTAACGATATATGAGAAAAAAATATTCAAAAGTGTTGAAATTTCACCTGAGGAAGAACTTGCAGCAGTTCGAAAACATTTGTGGGAAAATTTTTCTTTTGTTCTTTTGTCATACTGGAAATAGGTTCTAGGAGTACGATTTTTTAAACACATTTCAGTGTTGTTGTTGTTGTTGTTGATTTAAAATTATTGATTAAATTAAAAATTTATATAGTATTTCTGAGCAACATTATCCATATCTAGTCCAAATTTCATAATAAATTAATTTATAGTTGTATAAGGTATAATAGCAATATATAAGATTCTGATGATATGTAATTATATGCTTACATTAAATATATTATGAATTAAAAATAATCATAAATATATTTATTTTTATTTTGGAGATAGTCAATTGTAATATTATGGCCATTACAGGGTGCAGCACAGCTGTCACCCATTCACATGAGAATGTAGGGAGGAGTGAATTAAATGACATGGTTTCCTTAAAACATGGATCAACGTCATCCTCCCTTCACTGCCATATTCCTCAGCCACGGAGAAGTGAGTGATGTTGAGATACTATGCATGTATCATCATAATTAAATGGAATGTGAATGAATATATTTTTGATAATTATTATTTGAAATTAATACTAGATTTTTTTTTGTAAATTTTAATATGTTGATTTATTTTAAATAAGAATTTATTATTATTTTAAAATTGATATTTTAGTATAGTATAAAAAAATTAAATATAGGCCTGTATCCTAAAACTCTGCACAAATTTCAGTAACACTTTTTGGTAATTTTGAATAATTGCACATGTGCACAAGATAGCATACATTTTTTGTAAAATGTTCTTGATTTCATTTATCAAATGTTTCATTATAAAAAGGGAAACATTAAATGAGTCTGGTTGAAGAAATGTTCATTGGCAGATTTTCTATTGAAAATTGACAGAATGAATGTGCTGGTAATGATTACTTTTCACCAAATGGTAGTTTTCAGTCCTTTAAACAACTCTCTCAAGTATTTGCCAAGCTTCTGATTTGGCTGGCAATCAGTCCACATTGATGTTCACAGACCTTCATCGTCCCATCACAACTCTATTACCAAAAAAGTGTATGTCAACAAATGCATTTCGAAGAGACTAGTATCCTTCCTAAAGAAATACTACTATGATCAAGAATGTGTCTTTTGGCCACAGGTGTATGGTTTCACATGGCCACTGTTCATTATGCTTATAGCATGTTGCTAAGTTGGACCATTGTGGAATTTGATACATCGGTGAAGCCAACATTCCAAAACTGACACCAATTGAGAGATTTTCCTAGCTAATGAAGCAAGAAGTTTATGAAAATGGTTGGGAAGCGGAATCTGCAAAGGAGTTGGAGACACGATTAAAGCCAAACTGCTACTTCAAAACTGACACTTCCAGAAATTAATGTGATGAGTTAAGACTAAAGTTCAAATTGCAGCTGATTGCAGCTGACATATCATTTCAATATTAAACAACCTATGTGTACCCCAAATCTATTTTAAAATAAATGATGATTTTAAACAAGTTTGAAATTTGTGTAGATTTTTAGAATATTTATATGTTTTTTTATATTTGCATAAATGTAATGTTGTAATGAATTGCATCTTATTTAAGAATATATAAGTGCATGTATGAGATAAGTAATTTATTTATTAATATTATTACTTTTTTTCAATAGAGCTTTTTATAAATTTGTATGATTTCAGTTATAGTTAATAATTGAAAATATATATGATTTAAGAATGAAATATCAACATAATATAAATAATAAATCTGGAGATCAAATATTTATGATAATAATTACATGTATTTTTTACGTATAAGAAATGTGAAAAAAAATCTGAAAACAGTTATATATTACTTTTATTGAAAAAAAAATATTATTGAGTTTGATCTTATGAGCAGTTCTGGTAAATGTGAAGTAGGAACAAAATTGCAAATAAAAACTTTTTGTGTTTGTATTACATAGAATATTTGTGATACAAATATTCTATGTAATAACATTAGATAAAATATTCTTAGTTAATAACAGCTAACTGTGCTGTTGGCACTTCTGTAAAATATTGTATATTGTATACAGTAATCCAGTGTTCCGTAACTGGTATGCCGCAGCACACTTGTGTGTCCTCACTAGGTGAAAGGTGTGATGTGAACTTTTACATATTCTATTAATTTCAAGTTTTATTTATATATTTTTCTCACAGTTGCTGTGTTTCTTATGCTTGTATTTCAAGTGTTATTTCATAAGTGCTGCAGCACTTATGAAATAAGATGATGATTGTTTATTCTTTATTACAAGCCATGGATTTTTATGTATTTTAAGAAATTAATTGTAAAATAAATTTGCTCACAGGTGTTGATGTCTGTTTAATAATAATAATAATAATGATGATGATGAGGATGATGATAATAATAATAATAATAATAATAATAGGTTAGTGGGATTATGTCATTCTATTAATAGTATCATATCATACATTTTTGAGGGGAATAACAATTTGGTGCTGTGTTGAGACATGTCGAGTCATGGGTGTGCCACAAGTAGAAAAAGGTTGCGGAACACTGGTATAATCTTGAAGTCAGATATTGTGTAATTAGGTATTGGTAATTTACAGCTAATTAGACACCAACCAAATGCCGAAATGTTTAGCTATATTATGTATTGGGTCTAGCGATGTTGTTTGTATATTTACAGCTAATACTATCTGCATTAGAACAGTGACTGTAAATTTCAAAACTTGTCTTAAAATTGTTGTATATACTCACTGTTTTTTCATAATTTATATTTTCTGATATTTGATAATTTTCAGTATTTGACTCAATTTTTGATATTTGGTAATGTTCAGTATTAGATAATTATTGATACACAGTAAGTTTTGGCATTTATCAAAATTTTCTGATTGCCAGTATACTAAAGGAATCTTGATTCAAGCTCAATGTTGATATCAAAACTTTGGTTTAGCACAGCCTTAGTTGTAATATAGATAATAAAAATTATTCAGATGTCAGATATCATTATTTTAATTATTTATTATTAATCCATTATGTAACTTTTATATTTGAATTTTATTTAGAACAAAAGAATGAAGAATTAAAAATTTGTTCATAAAACTATTATTGTTTAAAAGGTTGATATTTTTCTTTCAGCAAACTCCACCATCCTCCCTTCACTGCCATATTCCTCAGCCACGGAGAAGTGAGTGATGTTGAGATACTATGCATGTATCATCATAATTAAATGGAATGTGAATGAATATATTTTTGATAATTATTATTTGAAATTAATACTAGATTTTTTTTTGTAAATTTTAATATGTTGATTTATTTTAAATAAGAATTTATTATTATTTTAAAATTGATATTTTAGTATAGTATAAAAAAATTAAATATAGGCCTGTATCCTAAAACTCTGCACAAATTTCAGTAACACTTTTTGGTAATTTTGAATAATTGCACATGTGCACAAGATAGCATACATTTTTTGTAAAATGTTCTTGATTTCATTTATCAAATGTTTCATTATAAAAAGGGAAACATTAAATGAGTCTGGTTGAAGAAATGTTCATTGGCAGATTTTCTATTGAAAATTGACAGAATGAATGTGCTGGTAATGATTACTTTTCACCAAATGGTAGTTTTCAGTCCTTTAAACAACTCTCTCAAGTATTTGCCAAGCTTCTGATTTGGCTGGCAATCAGTCCACATTGATGTTCACAGACCTTCATCGTCCCATCACAACTCTATTACCAAAAAAGTGTATGTCAACAAATGCATTTCGAAGAGACTAGTATCCTTCCTAAAGAAATACTACTATGATCAAGAATGTGTCTTTTGGCCACAGGTGTATGGTTTCACATGGCCACTGTTCATTATGCTTATAGCATGTTGCTAAGTTGGACCATTGTGGAATTTGATACATCGGTGAAGCCAACATTCCAAAACTGACACCAATTGAGAGATTTTCCTAGCTAATGAAGCAAGAAGTTTATGAAAATGGTTGGGAAGCGGAATCTGCAAAGGAGTTGGAGACACGATTAAAGCCAAACTGCTACTTCAAAACTGACACTTCCAGAAATTAATGTGATGAGTTAAGACTAAAGTTCAAATTGCAGCTGATTGCAGCTGACATATCATTTCAATATTAAACAACCTATGTGTACCCCAAATCTATTTTAAAATAAATGATGATTTTAAACAAGTTTGAAATTTGTGTAGATTTTTAGAATATTTATATGTTTTTTTATATTTGCATAAATGTAATGTTGTAATGAATTGCATCTTATTTAAGAATATATAAGTGCATGTATGAGATAAGTAATTTATTTATTAATATTATTACTTTTTTTCAATAGAGCTTTTTATAAATTTGTATGATTTCAGTTATAGTTAATAATTGAAAATATATATGATTTAAGAATGAAATATCAACATAATATAAATAATAAATCTGGAGATCAAATATTTATGATAATAATTACATGTATTTTTTACGTATAAGAAATGTGAAAAAAAATCTGAAAACAGTTATATATTACTTTTATTGAAAAAAAAATATTATTGAGTTTGATCTTATGAGCAGTTCTGGTAAATGTGAAGTAGGAACAAAATTGCAAATAAAAACTTTTTGTGTTTGTATTACATAGAATATTTGTGATACAAATATTCTATGTAATAACATTAGATAAAATATTCTTAGTTAATAACAGCTAACTGTGCTGTTGGCACTTCTGTAAAATATTGTATATTGTATACAGTAATCCAGTGTTCCGTAACTGGTATGCCGCAGCACACTTGTGTGTCCTCACTAGGTGAAAGGTGTGATGTGAACTTTTACATATTCTATTAATTTCAAGTTTTATTTATATATTTTTCTCACAGTTGCTGTGTTTCTTATGCTTGTATTTCAAGTGTTATTTCATAAGTGCTGCAGCACTTATGAAATAAGATGATGATTGTTTATTCTTTATTACAAGCCATGGATTTTTATGTATTTTAAGAAATTAATTGTAAAATAAATTTGCTCACAGGTGTTGATGTCTGTTTAATAATAATAATAATAATGATGATGATGAGGATGATGATAATAATAATAATAATAATAATAATAGGTTAGTGGGATTATGTCATTCTATTAATAGTATCATATCATACATTTTTGAGGGGAATAACAATTTGGTGCTGTGTTGAGACATGTCGAGTCATGGGTGTGCCACAAGTAGAAAAAGGTTGCGGAACACTGGTATAATCTTGAAGTCAGATATTGTGTAATTAGGTATTGGTAATTTACAGCTAATTAGACACCAACCAAATGCCGAAATGTTTAGCTATATTATGTATTGGGTCTAGCGATGTTGTTTGTATATTTACAGCTAATACTATCTGCATTAGAACAGTGACTGTAAATTTCAAAACTTGTCTTAAAATTGTTGTATATACTCACTGTTTTTTCATAATTTATATTTTCTGATATTTGATAATTTTCAGTATTTGACTCAATTTTTGATATTTGGTAATGTTCAGTA